TCTCCCGAGGGGTCCCCACACTGTGAGAGGGCACAAGTGGGGCTGAGGGACACCCCCCCCCCTCCAGTGCACAAATTTTTGTGCACCGGGCCTCTAGTGTATGTATAAAATCATTATAGTGTGACATAGCAATTAGATGTAAGCAGCAAGCAATATACAGTTTGCATTCATTCAATATGTCATTACTAAAGGCCAACTACATGTTAGGCGGTATGCTAAACACTGGGATCCATAAAACTACACAAATACACACACACACAGACACACACACACACACACACACACAAACTCTGCTCTCATGGAGTTTACCATACAGTAGGGAAGATAGGCAACAAACGAGCAATTGAAATATGTATACTGTATGTTATATGGTTGTACCGTGCTATGGAGAACATTAAATCAGGGAAGGGGGCTCTGTAACTGAGAGAGTGGTGGTTAGCTGGGGGGGAGGAAGTCAAGAAATAGCTATCTTAAGTAAGATAGGGTAAACCTCAATGACAAGGGAACATGTACACAGAAATCAAATCTGAAAGACACGCAGGAACTAACCTTGTGCATACCTAGGCAAAGAGTGCTGCAGGCAAAGGGAACAGCTGAGGCAAAGGCCCTGAGGCAGGAGCATGCTGGCTGCATATTATTTGTGCAAGTCAGTTAAATATTTTATACTAATGTTTATTAAATTTAAATTTAATAATATTTATAAAATATGTACTTTTATCATACCTAAATCTGTACTTAGTGGTAATGTCCTGATGGCATGCATCCTTAAATTATTTTTATTGTTATCTCAAACATTTACAAAATAATTAAAACATTAAGGTGCTGGACTCTTGCTCACTGCCAGAGTCTTAAGGCCTCAGGGCTGCAGAATCTTAGAGCCTCAGATGACTATCAAGTCTGAAGGTTGGGGAGAGAATGAGGGCAAGAGAAGATGAAAGGAGGGGATGGGAAAGGAAAAGGGAAAGACAGAAGGACAAATATATTATGATCTTACTTATGTGCAGAATCTAAAAAAATAAACTGAACTCACAGATATAGACAAGAGAACGGTGGTTGCTAGAGGTGGGAGTTCGGCAAAATGAGTGGAGGTGGTCAAAATGCACAAACTTCCAGTTATAAAATACATAACTGATAGGGATGTGATGTACAGCATGACTATAGGTAAAAATAATATAGTTAATTATGCTGTATTGTATATTTGCAAGTTGCTAAGAGAATAGACCTTAAAAGTTCTTATTAAAGTAAAATAATTTTAATTATATGGTGATGGATTTTTGACTAGACTTACTATGGTCAGCATTTGCAATATATGCACATGTCAAATCATTCTGTTGTACACCTGAAACTCACATAATGTTTATGTCAATATACCTCAATACAACAACAACAAAAAAGATAGAGACTAGGATTGAAGCACAAAGTGTTACTACAAACTTAATTGTACAAAATGTTGTTTTCAAAAGACAAAATGAATAAAAAAGTGTTTTAATAAAGCTGAAAATAAATGATGAGCAATATCATACTAGGAAAATGTAAACAGAAAGAAAGCATGGAACACAACCTTAGTGCCAGCCAATGATGAAATCAGGGCAACAACCTTCAGTGAAAAAAGGAAGGCAACCTATAATTACAAAGAGGGCAGTCCACAGTGAAGATATAATTATGACAATTGTTTATACACCAAGAATATAGCATGAATACTTACAGATCAAAACCTATAGGACATATGAAGAAGAAGAAACAATCCTTAAATAAGAGATGTTAATTTCTTTCTCTTGGTTCATAACAGATAGTGGGAAATAAAAAATTAGGTTAAGAAGGGTATTAAACCATACAAATAATAAGGATATTATAAACACAAACATACGTGGAGGGAGGGAGAGAGAGAGAGAGAGAGAGAGAGAGAGAGAGAGAGAGAGAAATTACTTTCTTTTTAAAATGATCTTGGAGCATTCATAAATATGATCACAACAATTCTTAATAAATTAAACAATTAAAAGAAGTATAGACAATAAATAATCTTTTATGTAATTAGGATAGAATTAGAGAACTTGAAAATGGATAAACCAAAATTCTACTCCTTGCAAATGAAAGAAGTCTCAAATAATTCTTGGTTCAAATGAAAATTAAAACTAAAATTGTGGCATATTAGGCATAATGTATATGCATGTCACACAATGCCATAAAAAGTCAGTTGTGTGTGTGTGTGTGTGTATGTGTGTGCGCGCACATGCATACACACTCATATATACTTGTATTATGTAGGTAGCTCCCTCTCTTGTGTAGTCTCTTCTGTGAAGATCTAGGGGTGACTCAGTAACTGCCTTTAGGAATAACCAGGTTTCATGTGAAGAGGATGCTGACTCACTTCTCCTTTATCTAAAGAGTCTGAATAGTGCTTTGCATAAACTATGTCATTTTATCACTGAAAGAGGACAATGTCTACACTCATTAATAAGTGGGTGTTTTCAAAGTTAGGCTCATTTAGTGGGAGGAAACTGAAACCTACATATGATCTAATATCACTTACCTCACTCAGAGTGGGACCTACTGGCTGCTCCCTGAGCACCGGGCTGCCCACTTCCCTCTCCATCGTGTTCTCCTCCTCATCCGAGTTTGCTCAGAGTTAGTGGTCCACCCCACCACAGGCCACAGGGCACAAAGAATAAAATGGCCTTAAAACAGCAAGCCAAGGAAATGGGTTCTGAGTAAGAAAACCTTAGCCTGAAATATGTCCTTTAATTGAATAATATATATTTTTTTTACCTATGCTTGTTTTTCACAGACTCCCGTATCAACTCTTGGCATAGCACTGAAATTCCATAACTATTCAATAACCAAGAAGAGTGTGAAAGGCTGTGACCATGGATGGTGGGAGATTAATGAGCACATGTAAGTGGTTTCCACGTGTGAGGAATCCGATGAAGGGCCCTGCTCAGAAGTTCAAAGCCTTGGTATTCTTGTCTCCAAAGAGTACACTTTACTATTTACTGATAGGGAAACTGAGGAATACAGGAGTTAATACTTGCTCAAGGCCACTCAGCTCTTAAGTGATTAAGACAGGATTCAAATCCGTGCTTTATGGCTCCTAAGTCCTTGCTCTATGCTGCTGGGCTGTGAATGTGCACACTACATTTTACAAAAATAGTTTGGCAGATAAAGTCTTTCAAACTATGGAGTCATAGAGGAAAATCATAAATAGGAGTCCTGGTGGTACAACAGTTAGAAACCCTTAGCCAATTCTGTGCAGTACAAGAGGCTCAATTGGCCTGGTTATATCCTGAGTCTGGGACATGGGTTGAGGTTGATCAGAGAAAGGCTGAGAGAAATCTAGGTGCCTGGGATTCCCAAACCAACATAGTAGGTCCTCATTCTCATCCTTAGTTTGTCCTTTCCTTGTTGTTATTATTTATTTGCTCCTGAAGTTATAATAGGTCTTGTATTTTAAACTGTAGGATGCCCTGTCTTGGCAGCAGAATAGCTTCTTTGTTTACTTTGCGATAGAATCCTTTTGAAGTTAGCCTAAGGCCGTGGTCGGCAAACTGCGGCTCAAAAGCCACTTTGGCCCCTTGAGTGTGGCTCTTCCTGAGCCTTAGGAGTAGCCTAATTAAGTTAATAACAATGTACCTACCTATATAGTTTAAGTTTAAAACATTTGGCTCTCAAAAGAAATTCCAATCATTGTACTGTTGATATTTGGCTCTGTTGACTAATGAGTTTGCCAACCACTGGAAAGGGATTTTCCTTGCTAATTCTTTGTTCATCATTATTCCATGAATGAATCCTTTCCTTTTTTTATAAAAAAAATATTTTTTACTGACTTTTAGAGAGAGAGGATGGGAGAGGGAGAAAGAGAAACGTTGACATGAGAGTGGAACATTGATCGGCTGCCTCCTGCACACCCCCTATTTGGGACCAAGCTAGCAAAGCAGGCATGTGCCCTGACCAGGAATTGAACCAGAAATCGTTTGGTATATGGGAAGACATCCAACCAATGAGCCACAACAACCAGGGCAAAACCTTTCCTTTCATAAGGATTTTCCTGAACAACCACTTTTACTTTCTTGAGACTTTTAGATTTCTTGCTAAATAGTCATTGGTCCTGTCATCATTGGAACAGATTCTACCTGATTTAAACCATTCTTGGCTCCATTATTAAGATGTGCTTGGTACTCTTTTGGGCGTGTCTTTGAATTGAGGGTCTATTATAGCACAAGCAGAAGACCTGGGTTCAAATTCCAGCCCTGTCTTTTAGTAGCTACATTAACTAGGACACTTTATTTAACCTCTTTGACCTTCAGTTTATAAAATGAGATAATAATTCCTAGTTAATAAGGTGTTTTGGGGGGTAAACATTGAATGAAATAATGCATATTACACACCAAAAAATTAGCTGTTTTTATGATTCATAAGATTGTGTTTGAAATGACATTGAATGGACAAATACTATAGAATGTGTTCCAAGGCTTTAAGGATACTGCACTTTAGTATTCTAATTGATGTCTATAAAACAAATCTGTAGATATCTCTTGTAAAGTTGTATGCCTAAAATAGAGCCATTTTGAAAATGAGATACTCCCCCCAACCAAGTAGCAATTCCTACCACCCCAATTTCCATATGTGTGGAATCCAATGGAAGGCCTTACCCAGAGGAAAGGTTGGCCTAACCCAAATATGTTGCTGTTAAAGTATGAGGGGAGACTCCTTCCAAACATTACTAGGAAAGCCTTTGGCCTAAGTACTTTCCCTGAAGGGCCAGCTCTTCACTTTGTCCTGTGGGCTGGCTAAGATCCTATCACATTATCTTGATGCAGCTAAACCCTGGGATTCAAAATGCCAGCTCTTCCCATTATCAGTCCTTTTCATCTCCAAAGGAAAGGCTCTAATTAAACTAATTTCTGATGGTTTGCTGAGGGTAGCCTAGGGGTGTTGGATTTGTCATGGGAAGGAGGAGAAGGTAATTCTGACACCAGAAAGCCTACAGATCTTGAGTTGAGAGAACATGGCAAGGGGTGTGTATGCTCAGGGCAGCTTGAATGCAGTAGATGAACCCTGAGAAAATGGAAGGCCTTCCTACAAAAAGCAGAGTTCCTGAGGGGAAGGCTGTTGCTGTGCTGAAAGTGCCAGGGTTTAATATCAGGCAGAGTTGTGTCTAAATCCTGCTTCTACTTGCTTGCCATATAAACTTTAACGCATTACTTCACCTCCTTACATCTCAGTTTTCTTACCCATTATATGCCTGTACATGTAAACTTGCTCCAATCTTTTATTTTATTTTTTAAATTTTTGTTTCATTAGCCACTGACATGACTCATTACTGACTGTTCTTCTCTAAACTTCACCCCAAGCATGTATTCAAAGATACTTTTCCTCCTGACTTTTGAATATTTGAGTGAGGCTCATCTTTGCAAGATAAGCCTAGTATATGTTAATAGAGAACATATATAAAATCACTATGACACAGATAACAATCATCATGTTTTCAGAACACAGTTTGTATTCTTTTTTAAAAATTTAATTTTTAAATTATAGTTAACATTCAATATTATGCTGTATTAGTTTCAGATGTACACCATAGTGGTTAGACAATCATATATTTTACCAAGTGTTCCCCCTGATATTTCAAGTACCCACCTGGCAGCACACATGGTTATTACAATATTATTGACTGTATTCCCTATGCCGTACTTTCCATCCTTTTGATTATTTTGTAACTATCAATTTGTACTTCTTAATCCCTTCACCTTTTTCACCTAGTCCTCCAACCCCCACCCTTCCTCTCCGGTAACCATCAATCTATTGTCTGTAGCTATGAATCTATTTCTATTTTGTTTGTTCATTTATTTTGTTCTTTAGATTCCACCTATAAGTTTGTATTCTAATCCCAAGATGATCAACTAGAATAGTCTCTGGCCTCAAAAGCTTCACTTGGCATTCAGATGCTTCTCAGACACTGGCTTCCACTTGGCCAGGTGGCCGAGGGCAGCTGTTATCTCTTCCTCTTTTTTTTAATAAACCTTTTTTTAAATATATATATATATATATATATATATATATATATATATATATATGTTGATTTTTTACAGAGAGGTAGGGAGAGGGATAGAGAGTTAGAAACATTGATGAGAGAGAAACATCGACCAGCTGCCTCCTGCACACCTCCTACTGGGGATGTGCCCACAACCAAGGTACATGCTCTTGACCGGAATTGAACCTGGGACCTTGCAGTCCACAGGCCGACGCTCTATCCACTGAGCCAAACCGGTTTGGCTATCTCTTCCTCTCTTATCACAGGAGCTGGTTTGTTAGTCCATCAAGTCCTGAACATCAGCCAATTGCAAAAGTTTCTTTCTGAAATGCACATGAATGCTTTCCTCCTTCAAATGTTGAAATCATAGGTTAACTCTCTGCCCCTCCCACTGAATACCTGTGTGTGTTCCTGGAACACGCGTGCTTCCCAAGTGCTTTGGGGACCTGAAGTGATTGACAGTCACAGATTCCGGTGGAGGACATTCCCCCTCAAGCCTTGTGTCTTCTATTTCCTTTTGAGACCCTGCAGGTTTCACCCTGGGAAGAGCCTTACCTACACAGGGCAAAGGCCTAACTTATCATGGGCCCCTGTGTAATAAGACTTCATGTTTCACTAACCACAGGGCTCATATAATAGGAATTACTAACAGGAGGGACATTGTCTATTAGGTGATGACAAGTAAGAAAAATTGAGATAGAAAAATATTGTAGATAGACATTACTCCTTTGAAATTTTGCCAAGGACAAGCTCTGAAGTGTGCATCTGATTTTAATTTAGTTTGAAACAGTATTGTTCTCTTTTGCTTTAAGTGTTGCTGGGGTTCTTTGTATATTTTCAATCTGAGCTCATGTATTCCACTCTGCTCTATTGAGAGGTTTGTAGACAGAAGCAGGCAATATTGCGCCGTGATTTACACAACAAAATGAGTGGGGACCAGGAGAATGAAACCCATATTTCTTCTGAGTATAAGTGTTGGTGAGGAAAGCAAGGGGCGAGGTGACAGACAGGCAATGGTAATGCTCTTGTTTTATTTAGCAGAGGACATCTAGGGGGCAGACGTTACTCAATCACAGACACTTAGCTTAGAAAGGATAACTATAAGCTCCACCCTAAGAAATGCTTATAAAAAAAAAAAAGAAATGCTAACAAAGCCCAAGTGACCAAAGCATTAATGAATTCATGGTCAATAGGAATGCAGTTGAAAGACCTCAGACCCTGTATCTTTGATTCTTGTCTCCTCAGGTACTGTGGCTCCTACATGGATCACCAGACCATTTTCCGAGTGCCCAGCCCTCTTGTTCACATTCAGCTTCAATGCAGTTCCAAGCTCTCGGACAAGCCACTTCTGGTGGAATATGGCAGTTACAACATCAGTCAACGTAAGCCTGGGATCAGCGCCTTAGAAAACCTTAAGAAATTGGTGAAAAGGAGGCTAATACTTAATAACTCTAAACTTGGAGAATTTAAAGGAATGAAAACTGCTTTATTTCTGCTGTTTTCTGTTACATTTTTATTTTTATAATAAATACTACATAAATAAATATATATTTAACAAATATATATAATGTAAACTAAATATATAATAGATAATACACAAAATTACATATTTATTACTGCCATAGTTTAATTTATGAACAAATAATATAATTATTTATTATTGATTTATAAACATATTTGTAAAATAACATCTCACATTACTCCTAAAGTATAGACCAAGCCCATTTCTTTATTGGTCTTTTGCTAGCCAGAATTCTTTGTAAATACGATGTGTACACCAACATTTGGTGGATTGGAGACCAACAGTTGTGACTCTCTTTGGCCTCATCCACAGGGAGAGCTGGTCAGTCAAGGAGCGCTCAGCTACCAGTGGTCAGAATGTCAAGCTTCACAATGAGAACCACTGGAACAGTGACCAGGAAGTGGCCAATAGACAAAGCAATGTTTGAGGAAAGTCATTAGAGCTGGAGGGAGTAGATACTGACTTTCTCAGGAAATTCTTGATGTGTCAAAAGAGGGAAAGGCAGGGTTAATCATTTAGGACTCCATGAGGATAAGACGTGAGAGAAGGCTCCTATAGAGCACGTCTTTTTTTTTTTTTTTTTTTTTTGCTAATGCCCTATTTCTGGATTTAGAATAGTCCACTTCTGAATATGGGAATACTAGCATTTCCAGCAAGGAAACAGGTACATAGTAAGCCATCTTCTTTTTCAGGAACTCATCCTCTCCACTGTGCGCCATTGAGATAGTGGGGTCCTGACCATGTACTCTCCCCAACTCCTCTGTACAGAGAGTGTCTGAGTCTGTTCAGGCTGCTGTAACAAAATACTGCAGACCAGGCAGCTTGTAAGGAACAGAAATTTATTTCTCACATTTCTTGGGACTGGAAGTCTAAGATGAGGGTGTTAGTGTGGTTAGGTGAGGGCCTTTTTCTGCATCACAGATTTCTCCTTGTATCCTCTCATGGTGGAAAGGGCTAGAGAACTCTGTGGGGCCTCATTTATAAGAGCACTAAGCCCATTCTTGCCCTCATGACCCAATCACCTCCAAGGGCACCACCTCCTAATACCATCATATTGGGCATTAGTATTTTATTTTTTAAAAATATTTTATTGATTTTTACAGAGAGGAAGGGAGAGGGATAGAGAGTTAGAAAAATCAATGAGAGAGAAACATTGATCAGCTGCCTCCTGCACACCTCCTACTGGGGATGTGCCTGCAACCAAGGTACATGCCCTTGACCGGAATCAAATCTGGGACCCTTGAGTTTGCAGGCCAACGCTCTGTCCACTGAGCCAAACCGGTTAGGGCAGGCATTAGTATTTTAACATATGAATTTGGGGAGAGCGTACAAATATTCAGACCATAGCAAGGGAGGAAGGATTTATTATCCTATATAATAAAAGCCTAATATGCTAACTGTCTGGTCGTCAGGCCATCCGTTCAACCAATCAAAGCGTAATATGCTATTGATATGCTAAAGCTGCTCAACCGCTTGCTATGACGTGCACTGACCACCAGGAGGGCAGATGCTCTGACTGGTAGGTTAGCCTGCTGCTGGGGTCCAGCTGATTGGGACTGAGTAAGACGGGCTGGACATGCCCTGGAGCCCTCCCACAGTCCCTCCCTGGCTGGCCAACCTCCCGAGTCCTTCCCTGGTCCCGATCGTGCACTGGTGGGATCCCTCAGCCTGGCCTGTGCCCTCTTGCAATATGGGACCCTTTGGGGAATGTCAGAGAGTGGATTTCAGCCCAATCCTGCAGGCCAGGTTGAGGGACCCCACTGGTGTATGAATTCGTGCACTGGGCCTCTAGTTTCTATTATATGTAGCTATAAGCCAGGATTCATGAATCAAGACCAGGAATGGAATCTTTAACTTGCAATCTGATTGAAGTGAAAAAAATTATGGACTGGGGAGGAGGCAGGAGTCCTGAGTTTCGAGGCTAGTCACTAATTACTCTAGGTCCAACTTTCTAAGATCTGTGGTTACTCATGTATTTTGAGACAGAGATTAATTGAAAATATAAGTAAAGACTCCTCAGAAGAATGCATCTGATCATAGAGGATTCAGACCCCAGAGTCCATTCATATCCCCCTGGGGTGTCTAAAACTGCACACTAAGAATGCTGGGCTCTCTCAGGTACTCTCCAGCTTTCTTTGAGTCTTGTCAGAGAGCTGAGGCAAGAATGGAGGAAGTAGAAGTTTGACTGTACATGTGACCTGGCTGCAATGTTGACTCTGTTTTGGTGAATTTATTTGCTTTCTTTGCTCTCCTAAATTCTGCTTTTTTTGTTTTTCAATTATCACCTGTAACTTAGATTTGATGAAGAACTTATGTAATTACTACTGTTACATTGTCAACTCCTTAATCACTAATCACTTCATATTTCTTTATTAATATGCTCCAGTGATTTCTAGGGACCCACACAATATTTTCTATTTTTTAATTTTCTGCAGCCTGTCCTGTTGGATCTTTTAGATGCTCCTCGGGCCTGTGTGTCCCTCAGGCCCAGCGGTGTGATGGAGTTAATGACTGCTTTGATGAAAGTGATGAACTTTTCTGTGGTGGGTAATCAAACTTTTATTATGATTTTCATATGAATAAATAACTTCTCAGGGCCATTGTTGCTCCTGCTGCATATCCTGGGTCTTCGCAGCTGCTACCTATTGCTTCATAATAAACAACCCCCAAACTCAGGGAATTACAACAATCACTCATTCTGGTTGTCTGGGATGTGACTGATCTAGGCTGGGCTCTTTGGGTAGCCCAGCCTAGATCCTCAAGCACTGGGTCCTCTTGAGTTTGGTTCTTTGCAGGTTGGGGTCAGGTTTACTCCTCATGGCTCTTTTCCTCATTGACCTAGGGTGCTAGCCAGGGCAGTGATGAGAGCAAAGAAGGAGTCAGCAACATCACATGGTCCCTCTTAAATTGTGGGCTTGGAACTGGCACACCATCCCTTGTGTCATATTCCATCAGTTAAAGCAAGTCAGGTAGCTATGGCCATAGCCAAGGGACAGGGAGATTTATTCTGCAGTGTGGGGTCATGGCAAGGGATAGGGGTGCATAATATACCACAGGAAGTGGTGATCTGTGGCTAATAATTTAGTCAACCACAATCTTAAATATAACAATTCCATTTTATTTATTTATTTATTTAAACAATCTATTTTTAAAAAAATTTAAAATTATCTTTATTGTTGTAAGTAATACAGATGTACCCTCCCCCTGCATTGACCCCTTCTAGCTGCCCCTGCCCCCCACCCCAGGCCTGCATCACACTATTGTCTGTGTCCATGGGTTATGCATATATGCATACAAGTTCTTTGGTTGATCTCTTCTCACCCCTCTCCCCCCCCCCACCTTCTCTCTGAGATTCTTCCATGCTTCTATGTCTCTGGATCTATTTTGTTTATCCGTTTGTTGTTGTTGTTGTTTTTTTGTTTATTAGATTCCACATGTGAGTGAGATCATATAATACTTATCTTTCTCTGACTGACTTATTTAGCTTAGCATAATACTCTCCAGGTCCCTCCATGCTGTCTCAAAGGGTAAGAGATCCTTCTTTTTTACTGCTGCATAATATTCCATGGTGTAAATGTACCACAGTTTTTTATCCACTCATGTACTGATAGGCACTTGAGCTGTTTCCAGATCTTAGCTATTGTACATCATGCTGCTATGAACATAGTGGTGCATACTGGTATATTCTTTCTGATTGGTGTTTTGGATTTCTTAGGATATATTCCTAGAAGTGGGATCACTGGGCCAAATGGTAGTTCCATATTGCAGCCATTATGGCAAATGTTATGCAGTTTCCTCGAAAAATTAAATATGGAACAATCCTATATTAAAGCACAGTTCTTTCAGCTAGAGAGAATCTGCAGTGAGGTATGGAGCACAGGTTTTGTGAATGAAAGAACTGTTATTATTTTTTACTTATATAGTTTGCATCAATATCACATTGGAGATGACTAAGGGGTGGGGTATTGGATATTCCTATTTTGGGCGGAGAATATCTGTTGGTTTTCCATTACTCTTTGCACGTCATTTCTGAATCTATCTTCAGTTTCAGGAAGCAATATGGGGATGAAAGTTCACCGGATCATATGACACTATTGGTAACACTTTCTCCTGAGGATCCAGAGTTTAATTCAAATAATTGCGATGGTGAAGCTATTGAATCTTATTTATATTTTTGGAGAAATATTGTAGTTAATATAACTAATTGTGGTAAATTATATTCATAAAAATAACCTTAGACTCTACACTCCTTTTTTAATTGACAAAACAGAATAAAACTTTTTAAAAAATATATTTTATTGATTTTTTACAGAGAAGAAGGGAGAGGGATAGTTAGAAACATCGATCAGCTGCCTCCTGCACACCCCTCACTGGGGATGTGCCCGCAACTAAGGTACATGTTCTTGACCAGAATTGAACCTGGGACCCTTCAGTCCTCAGGCTGATGCTCTATCCACTGAGCCACACCAGTTAGGGCCAGAATGAAACTTTTTTAAACTTATAGTGCATTGAGCTTTTGAATCTATGGGGTCTTCTATTTACTAAGGAAACTGATCATTATAGCAATTGAGATTGCTTTTGTTTTTAATTATTATTATTCCTTGCTCAAAACAAAGTAATTATTGTTATTTTAGAATAAGGACTGTTTTTTTTGTGTATGTGTGTTTTGTTTGTTTGTTTTGTTTTGTTTTGTGTGTGTGTGTGTGTGCGTGCGTGCGTGTGTGTGTGTGTGTGTGTGTGTAGTTTTCTTTTGGTAATCATTATTTCTCATCATGCCATTTTGAGAGCTATTTCCTAGGCGTCAACTAGGTATTCTTGGAGACTTAAGGAACTATTTTAGAGCAGCAATGTCCTTTCCTGCCCCTCACAAGAGGTACCTCTGAAAAAAATACAATCAGATAACAAAAATGATAACTTTCACAGAACCAGAAATGTCTAAGAAATCATACCTTCTAAGAATGCCTGCTAATGCACTGTGCCTGTCACTTGTAAAAAGGCAATTTTTAAAAATACTCCAAAAAATTGTGATCGATTTACACTGGTATTTTCTAATTCAGGATATGAATCTCTCTAGATAAAATAATTTTAAAGAGAGTTTTCCTTACATATAGACTACAAGTCTATTATCCTCTAAGATTTCACATTCATAATTCATTCAACAAATCTTTCTTTTTAATTCCTCAACTGAGTATATGTTTCTATTAATTTTAGAGAGAGAAGGGGGAGAAAGAGAGAAACATGGATATGAGAGAGAAACATTGATTGGTTGCCTCCCAAATGTGCCCCAGTGGAATCAAACCTGTAAACTGGGTATGTGTCCTGACTAGGAATCAAACCCACAACCTTTAGGTGTAGGAGCAACACTCCAACCAACTGAGCCACCGGGTCAGAGCTCATTCAACAAGCCTTTAATGAGCACCTACTATTTGGACAGAGGCTTGAGGGATAGAGAAGAATAAGACAAAATCCCCAATCTCAGGACCCTCCCACTTTGTTTAGGAAGGTAGATAAGTTCAATTTAAATAATACCTGATGCTTTTTTTCCTTAAAATAAAATCTTACAATGCATTTAATTGTAATTAAATAAACAACCCACCAGAGTTCAACACGTTTACACAAAAGCAAAAACTCAGATCTGACAAACTCAAAGTGCTAGGAATTACAACGAAGTTTAAACATTTGCTTTTCTCCCTGAATATGTCCATTTTGAGGAGAACACACTTTTCATTGCATTTAAGTCATCTTAACCCTTTGAGCCTACCTGTAGAGGGGCACTTCTCGTCATCAGAGTCCAGTTGATGTCTCAGGCTCAGGATTGTTCTGTCTGTTCTCATTCTAGTGACTCTTAAACCTGCCTGCAACACCAGCTCCTTCAGGCAGTCGGGCCCTCTGGTCTGCGATGGCTTCAGGGACTGTGAGGACGGCCAGGACGAGCAGAACTGCACTCAGAGTAAGGGTTCTGGCACTCTGCTGTTCTCCCTATAAAACGCATATATATATTAATCCGCACCCAGGGATATTTTCCCATTGATTTTTAGAGAGTGAAACAGAGATGGGGGAGAGAGAGAAAGAGAGAGAGAAATCAATGGGAGAGAGATATATTGACTGGTTGCCTCCCATATGCACCCCAACCAGGGCCAGGGATCGAGCCTGCAACACAGGTACATACCCTTGACCAGGACTCAAACCTGGGACCCTTCAGTCTGCAGGCCAATGCTCTAATCACTGAGAAACCCAGCCAGGGCTATACAATTCTTTTAAATCAGAATCTAAACACCTCTGTTGGATTAGCATAATCAACTTATCAACTTGTCTCTTTTCCCAGGACTTTCTCAGTTTTCATACTGAAAATCTCATATCCTGGGAATCCTCTCCGTCTTAGACAGAATGGGATTGTTGGTCACTAACTGGGGTGGGGTGTTATGTGTGGGTGTGTGAATACTGGGAGATTTTCATTGCTTACTTGCTTTTAATGCCGCTCCAGACTGAAGGACAAGGAGGGAACTTGCTAAAAACCATGCCCCTGCAGAGACACACACACTGTGAACAAATGTGTGTAATTCACAGTCTGTCCATTCTCTCCCCCACCCCACTGCCCCAATGGTATAAAAAGACTGAGTATGGTGATGATTTTTGCTCCAAAATTTTCTTGGAAAACAAGATAATAGCAGAGGTCAAGACCTAAAGTCAATGATATGGCCAACTGCTTTGCAGCTCTTCTGCAGTGGAAGAAAGGTGAGGCCCTTGGATTGATTCTCAGCAGATGCGCCAGCCCACTGCCCACCCGCCTGCCTTACAAGGGCTCTGCTGAGGGGAAGGTCAATGAGGGACATTGCTTCTTTTCCCTCTGATGTTTCCCAGAGCAGCAAATTCCCAACCTGTGCTTAAGCCATCGTTTGCAGAGTTCAGTGTCATTTACTCAGATCTGTTTTTGGCTAAAAAAAACAAACCCTGTCTTCTTTTGTTCATTTTTAGGCATTCCATGCAACAACAGAACTTTTAAGTGTGGCAATGATATCTGCTTCAGGAAACAAAATGCAAAGTGTGATGGGACTGTGGATTGTCCAGATGGAAGCGATGAAGAAGGCTGCAGTGAGTAGCTAGAGTTCAGATTTCCTCTTCAGTTTTTTTTTTTCATCCCCTTCTTGGTGTAATTCCCCTGGCAGAGGTTGCCTCAGGCCCAGAGAAGAATACTGGTGAACTGAATATGAAATAATTCCTCAGTTTTAAAAACACTAGAATAGATTCCATCTTCTTTCTTGATAACAAGCACTAATGTTTATAAGGAGAACTTCACTTTCTAATAACTCTGATCAAGGGACAAGTTCTTAAATAAAAAAACCTATGAGAAAGAAATGCATACTGGCACACAGGGGATGACTTTGCTAATTATGCTTTACCTTAGATCAAATTTAAGTCCTGGTTTTTGCTTTATCTATGGTTTGAAAACTAACCTGCCATATGGTATTGTTACTTGTTACTATTGGCTGTGTGGCAACATGTTAACTCTCTGACCTTATCAATACTATTTACACCGGAAAAGAATTGCTCTGATAACCAGTGTTTCTTAATAGGTTTTCATTAGTCTTGGACTTTCAAATTGTTTCCCAAATGCTTTTCTCAAATCAGCACAACTCTAAAGACAGTCTCAATTCTGTTGCATTTGGAATGAAATCTTTTCCTTTTTCCTAACAACCCAAGCCCCACGGATGCTGTTCCTATCAGAGCAGCTGCTACTAACAGGTCCCCTCCTCCCCTCACATTATTGTGGGAGACTCAGTGCCAGCCTGCTTTCAGGAGGGAGGGAGTGGTTTGTTGGTGCTGGTTTCAGAAAGATCCACACTTTGCCTCCTATCTAGATAAGCAGATTTCAATTGCTTACCTGGTTAATCAGTCACAAACTCTGCACTAAACAGGACTTCATTCCAATTTGTTTCCAAGTCTGCCTTTAAATCACATGACCCTTCCTCTCCCAAAGGCTGCAGTGGGAGTGCCTCCACCCTCCACCGCATCATCGGGGGCACCGACACCCTGGAAGGGAGGTGGCCCTGGCAAGTGAGCCTCCATTTCATTGGATCTGCCTACTGTGGAGCCTCGGTCATCTCCAGGGAGTGGCTTCTCTCTGCGGCCCACTGTTTCCATGGAAACAGGTAGGGCATCTCAATCTGTACTGTGAAGTGGCACATTCAGACTACAGATGATGCATATGCCTTCATGTTGTGGGAAAGAGCTTCCTGTTGGTGGCATTCACTCATAATTGGTAGTTTGTGGGGTTTTTTGTGTGTGTTTTTGACACCAATTGTGTGCCAAACATTTCTTCTAGGAATTATTGACATTTAGAAAAAAGAACAACACAAAAGAACATCAAGAATGAATAGGTTTTCACTAAACTGAAGAACTAGGATAGGACTTTCAAGTCAGAGACAGGTTTGAGTGGTATATGAGCGTTTATTCCAACAACAACAGCAGTATGGAAGAGCAGCAGGTCATCCACAAAAACCTGCTCTGCAGTCCCCCCCCCCCCAATAAACCAGCTGCTTATATAGGGCAGGACAAAGTTTACATGGGGAAGTAGGGATTACAGACATGGGGAAGGAGGCAATGCATGCTGGGGCAGGACTCCATTGTTTGGGCAACTTGTTAATCTTTCCATGATAATAGGCAGTTCTTGAATGAGAATGGACCGAATTCTAGGGTTGACTGCCAGGTCCAAGGTTGACTGCCAGGTCCAAGGTTGACTGGAGTAGCGGGAGCATAAAACTCCCAGCTAGGTTAAAATGTCCTTTTTTTAATCAGAACAAGGCAATCACAAGGTTAACAGAGCATGATTCATATTTCTTATAACTATAGTTAGTCCCCAATATTCTATTTTTGCCCCTAACAAAAGAAAAGCTTAGAAAATAACTTCACTTAAAATGTAACCTTATTTGGAATCTACTGGATCTTAGATACAAAAATATTATTACCTTCTTATTCAAAAAATTTTAAGTGGATGGGATATTTCAACAAAGTTATACAATTAGAGTGTTTGCTTCTCCCAGAAATTACAGGATTCTTGTTAATGACTAAAACAGCTTTTATGTGACCATTAGTCTTTAATGCTATGAAACTGCTCCAAGTTATATGTTAACCTTCATACCCTTCTGGGTTGCCAGTACCACCGATGAGATGTCAGCTAAGCAAATTAGGGGTCACACTCTTTGAGTTCTGTCCTTATTTTACTTCCAAAGCATCCACGTTCTCTTCACCCCACCAGAGTAAGCCTGCTGTACTGGTGGAGATGAAAACCTCACATAGAGACAACAAGACTCTTCTTGATTTTTGTGGGAGGCCATGAGGGTTAGGATTAGAGTTCTGGAAGGACCAAGAAGGAGTGGGGCCCCCTGGGAATGGTCATGCCTGAGCAGTTAGAGCAGTGATCCTTAAATCTTCTAGCAAACAATAATTTCATTAAATCCCTGCTTATAGCACTTTGAGTTCTAATCTATCTGGTTATTTATATCATTGGAATTTGGCAAAAGGATTCCCAGACCACTGTCTTACTGGCCCTGGCTGCCTCCATCGAAGACTATTGTTAGTATCACTAGGAAGAGTATAACATTCATTCTAGTCACTAACGTTCTTGACCTGTGTGTGGATTATGAAATACCAGTGGCAAGAAAATTTCCAACATTTCCTTAGGATGTTGCTGGTGCATACTAGGAGCTATCATTCACCACCCTCACTACACCTTACTCTAGCTCTGGTTTGTTTTTTTTTAAATATATTTTATTGATTTTTTACAGAGAGGAAGGGAGAGAGATAGAGAGTTAGAAACATCGATGAGAGAGAAACATCGATCAGCTGCCTCCTGCACATCTCCCACTGGGGATGTGTGCGCAACCCAGGTACATGCCCTTGACCGGAATCGAACCTGGGACCCCTCAGTCCGCAGGCCAACGCTCTATCCACTGAGCCAAACCGGTTTCGGCTAGCTCTGGTTTTAATATGGAGACCAGAGAGCCTCAGAGCAGTTGTGCTTCTTGCCATGTCTGTGGACAGAGCCAGCGACTGTGATAGGGAATGAAAGTCAGACCTCCCTTTGCTCATCTGTCTGTGGAGTACTTGTTTCACCATGTCTGGTTCATTAAGCCACTGACTTCGTGCCTGGTTCCTTTTCTACCAGGCTGTCAGACCCGACGCCATGGACCGCTCACCTGGGCATGTATGTGCAGGGGAATGCCAAGTTTGTCTCCCCCGTAAGAAGAATTGTGGTCCACGAGTACTATAACAGCCAGACCTTCGACTATGATATTGCCTTGCTACAGCTCAGTGTCGCCTGGCCTGAGACCCTGAAACAGCTCATTCAGCCAATATGCATCCCTCCCGCTGGCCAGAAAGTGCGCAGTGGGGAAAAGTGCTGGGTGACCGGCTGGGGGCGAAGGCACGAAGCAGGTGTGTGTATGGGTGAACGGCCATGCTCTTCCCTCCAGATAAGAATAACTTGTGCTGATCTAGTGCTTAGGGGCTCATAGAGGGGGTTCTTATAGATGGTCTCCATTGAGCCTCCTAATAACTCTGAGAGGTAGAATGGAGGAACGTATCATTATTCCTGTTTTATGATGCTTTCCATGTATCCCCAAAAGAAACAGGTGCAAGGCAGGATTGAAAAGATAGCCTTTCAGACTCTGAGGGGTTTGCAAAGTTTTCCACTAAAAATAGGAATAAATTCCTCCTTCTTTCTGGGTTCCCTTTTCATCCAAAGAAGTGATTCATCTTCATAAAGGAGAAAGAAAGAACACACACACACACACACACACACACACACACACACACACACACACCCTACTGTGTCAACTCCTAGACAACTGTTTGGAGGATTATACAAGTATGTCTTGCACAGGGACATCTGGTTGAGGTACTGAGAGTGAGGGCTGAAATCCAGCCTGCTCTTGGCTCTCCAGACTGCACATTCAGGCCTGGGGATGGCTTTTTACATTTCCTTTACCCAGGAGGGGCATCTTTTTCATTACTCACAAAAGTGTGAGTATATGAGGGTAGCCATACATCTAATCTGCCAAGGTTTGTCATGGTCTAGGAGTCATGGTCGGTTCTAAATATACTAATATAGTGAAGAGAAAAGTCCATAACTTAAGGTGAACACCTCTCCAAGGATTAGTGCTAATACTTTCCCTTGAGCTCCCAACCATCTCAGATTCCCTTGTAGGCGTTCCCACAGGTTTAGGACAGTGGTCGGCAGACTGCGGCTCGAGAGCCACATGCGGCTCTTTGGCCCCTTGAGTGTGGCTTTTCCACAAAATACCACGTGCAGGCGCACATGTACAGTGTGATTGAAACTTCGTGGCCCACGCGCAGAAGTCGGTATTTTGTGGAAGAGCCACACTCAAGGGGCCAAAGAGCCGCATGTGGCTCGTGAGCTGCAGTTTGCCGACCACTGGGACATTCTCTAAAGATTCACTGGGCAGCTTCTCAAGTGCTCACTGCCTTCATTTACTTATTGAAGTTATGATGTTCACCACCAGTTTGGGCCTGCTGAGGTCTCAGTAGATTCAACGGGGAAGTCGGCTAACTGCTTGAACACTTACAACCTCTCAGGACTTTAATGTATTATCCTAAAGCACAAGAGGAAAGAGTCTACTCAACCAACTTATCAGGAGACAGTTTCTGCACAAACATGAGTGTATATGTGTATTTTTCTGAGTCATCTTAGCCAGATAGGTTAAAAAGGAAGTGGAAAGGCTATATCCAAAATGTTACGTTTTTACGGTTTCTAAGAAACTCCCATATATCAGTTACGCTGCTCCATTTGGCTAGTAAGTGTTGGTAATGATGGTTGCTGACTCACAGTCCTACTGAAAGCAGGAGGACATGGTGAAGGAGTATGGTAGTAGCTCAGGTGAGCGAGTCAGACCTTGGGTTTGAATCCTGCTCTGTTACTTGCTAGTTGTGTGCCACTGGGCAAGTCCTTTAACCTCCTAAGCCTCCCAGTCTTCATTAGGAACGTGGGGATCATAATAGAATGTATCTAAAAAATTGTTATTGAGGTTATTGAGCATAAAAGGAGTTAATGTGAGTACATTGTTTAATAAAAACCTGATTAAGTATAGTAATTTCCATGATTTCTGCCTCCAACGTGTTTTTCAGACAATAAAGGCTCCCCTGTTTTGCAACAAGCAGAGGTAGAGCTCATTGACCAAACCCTCTGTGTTTCCACCTATGGGATCATTACTTCGCGGATGCTCTGTGCGGGCGTCATGTCCGGCAAGAGAGATGCTTGCAGAGTAAGTCATCTTACCGTTCCCTTGCTTAACATGTCATACTTTCCATAAATGCTTTCACATTTGGTCTACACAACACTGGGAAATACATAACTAGGGCTGGTGCTTCACTTAATTCAGATGTTAATTATAATCAATGGTCTAATATCACAGAAAGATGATTATATAATTGGGTCTATAAAACTCAGTTTTCCAGTCCCAATGTAGTTTCCTTCAACATTAAGAGAACGAGGTCAGCATTTAGCATTCTTCCATGATTTTCTTAAAACCAAAAACTACAAAACAAAGCAATATGCACACACACACACACACACACACACTATTAGAATTGCTACTGATTTCCTTAGCAGCAAGCATTTATCTTCTGAAAACAAGGGTTTTATTCACTTACTCCTTTGACACAGGTTGTGGGAAACGAAAGAGGAGTGGGAGAGGTGACAAAGGACACTCATTTGTTTGCCTCTGTCACTTCTTGACAGTGGTAAGGTTGGAGGTAACTTTTGGGGGACAATGCTCTGAGCCTCAGATTCTAATCTCTGCAGTTATCTAAATGATTTCCAAAAAGTGAACAGGTAATTTAGAGGATGAGGAAGACAATGGGACTTGTTCCCACATCTTTCCACCACCTTAGCCACCATGCCATAACGACTCATAATAGTGATTTCTGTCTTCTGAGCTCCTATTTTGTGGCAAGCCCTATGCTAGGTCCTTGGTATAGAATAATTCAAATAAAGCTTTTATCCTCATTTTACAGAAGAGGGAACTGGGGCACAGAGAGGGTAAATAAATTACCCAAGATCACACAGCTAGTCAGTAAATACTGGCCTGGGATTTGAACCCTTATTTCTCTAATGCTAAAACTATTGTATTCTGGGTGCTTACTGCAGCTAGTCAATTATATTGTCCTGTTCCACCTAACCACCAGGGTTTACAGACGTGGCAACAATTTCAAAAATTTTCTGACTCAACTAGTCAGAATTTACCTAAATCAGGTTTAGAATTATGGGGATGGAATACAGGAGAAAATTTGAACTACTTTTTTTTTTTATCTTTGCTTCTGAGTAAGTTATAGTTTTTCTTATTCTCCAAAATGAGAAAATAAATATCCAAACATTATAATTTAAATGATGAATACTGTAGGAATTATTTTAAACTTTGTATTATTTCAGTCTTTGCTTTATGGAGTTGAGATATCAGAAGGGACCCTCAAGTGAGGGTGATTTGTTTCTGAGAGCTGCCAGCCAGTGATCCTTAGGGCTACCTCATTGGACCTGGCTAACTAAACAGGGTCTCTTGTACTTTCTTCCTTGGGACTATGAGCCAACCACTGAAGGTACATGGCCTAGAGGTAGAGGTTAACCTTCCAAGGTAACAATGCCTCATAAGATTATTGTGAAGATTAAATGACCCAAAACAGAGCTTAGCACATAGCTCACATTAAATGTTAGCTATTATTAGTATCATTATTACTATTGAGGTTCATTATTTGTTTGGAGGTTTATGAGAGTTGTTTCCCCTGCAAGAATATTCTAATGTTAGTTCTGGCCTGAAGAATCAAATTTCTTGTGATGAATACAGAATTTTGATTATAAGGAAAATAATTCTAAAATGATATTGGGAGTTTCACATTATTTCTTGACACTTGTCCAAACTGCATAATAATTAGTACAGCAAAAACCTGTCAGAATGGGAGTGTTGAATACAGTCCATTAGATACATTACAAATGTACTTCATACTTACATTATCTTCTTGTGTAGGGAGATTCGGGTGGACCATTGTCTTGTCGAAGAAAAAGTGATGGAAAATGGATTTTGACTGGCATTGTTAGCTGGGGACATGGATGCGGAAGACCAAACTTTCCTGGTGTTTACACGAGGGTGTCAAACTTTGTTTCCTGGATTCATAAATATGTCCCTCTTTTGTAATAGTACAAGTTGGATTTTTGACTGTAATTTATATGATAGGTTATTTTAAAAAGAATGGAGTAATTACAAATAAAATTATACAACCAATTTTTTTCTTGAGCAAGCTTCAGATTGCATACATTTGTTATTTATTAAAAAGCAGAGAGATGTATTTTATTCCCTAGTAAATTGCCTCAAGTATATAGTTATATTCATTCTCAAGCATCAAAGGGCCATAGATTCAGACATGGAAGAAATATTAGATAATGTTATGAACTAAGCCTCTAAAATAAGATATGAAATGGGTGAGATGTTGAGATAATGCATTTTTATGTGCCTATTAAAGGTACAGCTATTTATAAGGTTTTAGGCAAATTTGTCTTATTGAAATAAGAAATTCCATTAAAGAAACATGCCTGATACTTAGTGCTCTAATGAACTTAAATACACAAAAAATGTCTCCTTCACAGACACTAATGTTTTGGCGATGTCACTTTGATGATAGCTTATTTCTTGGTTTATGCGATAAACATTTGGGATACTATTTGCTCTTAAAGAAGATAAAGAAAGAAGAGCAAGTATTGCAACAAGAAAAGCAAAATTGAACATCTTATATTGGTGAGCAAGTCTTGGTAACAACTATACATTTTTTAAAAAATTTATTTATTTATTTATTCTTAAATTTACTTTTATTTTTTTCCCATGGCACAGATTTATTTTATTTTATTTTATTAAGGTATTACATATGTGTCCTTATCCCACCATAACCCCCCTGACCTCCCCAACTCATGCCCTCACCCCCCTGTTGTCTGTGTCCATTTGTTAGGCTTATATGCATGCATACAAGTCCTTTGGTTGATCTTTCCCCCTTAACCCCACCTTTCCCAACCTTCCCTCTGGGGTTTGACAGTCTGATCGATGCTTCTCTGTCTCTGGATCTGTTTTTGTTAATTAGTTTATGTTGTTAATTATATTCCATAAATGAGTGAGATCATGTGATATTTGTCTCTCTCTAACTAGCTTATTTCACTTAGCATAATGCTCTCCAGATCCATCCATGCTGCTGCAAATGATAAGAATTCCTTCTTTTTTTTACCACAGCATAGTGTTCCATTGTGTAGATGTACCAAAGTTTTTTAATCCTGATGGGCACGTAGGCTGTTTCCAAATCTTAGCTAGGGTGAATTGTGCTGCTATGAACATAGGGATACATATATCCTTTCTGATTGGTGTTTCTAGTTTCTTGGGATATTCCAAGAAGTGGAATCACTGGGTCAATTGGGAGTTCCATTTTTAGTTTTTTGAGGAAACTCCATACTGTTCTCCACAGTGGCTGCACCAGTCTGCATTCCCACCAGCAGTGCATGAGGGTTCCCCTTTCTCCACATCCTTGCCAGCACTTGTCATTTGTTGATTTGTTGATGATAGCCATTCTGACAGATGTGAGATGGTACCGCATTGTCGTTTTGATTTGCATCTCTCGGATGATTAGTGACTTTGAGCATGTTTTCATATGTGTGTTGGCCTTCCTTCTGTCTTCTTTTGAAAAGTTGCTATTTAGGTTCATTGCCCATTTTTTGATTGGATTGTTTATCTTCCTTTTGTTTAGTTGTATGAGTTCCCTGTAAATGTTGGAGATTAAACCCTTATCGGTGATAACATTGCAAATATGTTTTCCCATGCAGTGGGCTTTCTTGTCGTTTTGTTGTTGGTTTCTTTTGCTGTGAAGAAGCTTTTTATTTTGATGTAGTCCCATTTGTTTATTTTCTCTTTAGTTTCCATTGCCCTAGGAGCTGTATTAGTGAAGAAATTGCTTCGGCATATGTCTGCTATTTTGCTGCCTGTGGATTCCTCTAATACTTTTATGGTTTCTCGTCTTATGTTTAAGTCCTTTATCCATTTTGAGTTTATTTTTGTGAATGGTGTAAGTTGGTGGTCTAGTTTCATTTTTTTGCATGTATCTGTCCAATTTTCCCAGCACCATTTATTGAAGAGACTGTCTTGACTCCATTGTATGTTCATGCCTCCTTTGTCGAATATTAATTGAGAAGAGTGGTTTGGGTCGATTTCTGGGTTCTTTATTCTATTCCATTGATCTATATGTCTGTTCTTGTGCCAGTACCAGGCAGTGTTGAGAACAGTGGCTTTGTAATACAGCTTGATATCTGGTATTGAGATCCCACCTACTTTGTTCTTCTTTCTTAGGATTGCTGCAGCTATTCGGGGTCTTTATTTTTTCCCAGATGAATTTTTGGAAAGTTTGTTCTAGGTCTGTAAAATATGCCGTTGGTATTTTAATGGGGAGTGCATTGAATCTATAGATTGCTTTGGGTAGTATGGACATTTTGATGATGTTGATTGTACCAATCCATGAACACGGTATGTTTTTCCATCTGTTTATGTTTTCCTCTATCTCTTTTTTCAGTGTCCTGTAGTTTTCTGCATATAGGTCTGTTACCTCCTTAGTTAAGTTTATTCCTAGGTATCTTAATTTTTTTGGTGCGATGGTAAATGGGGCTGCTTTTTAGTCTCTCTTTCTGTAAGTTCATTATTGGTGTATAGAAATGCCATAGATTTCTTGGCGTTAATTTTGTATCCTGCTACATTGCCGAATTCATTTATTAAGTCTAATAATTTTTTGATGGAGTCTTTAGGGTTTTCTATGTATAGTATCATGTCATCTGCAAATAAGGACAGTTTTACTTCTTCTTTTCCAATTTGGATGCCTTTTATTTCTTCTTATTGTCTGATTGCAATAGCTAGTACTTCCAGTACTATATCGAACAGGAGTGGTGAGAGTGGGCATCCCTGTCTTGTTCCTGTTCTTAGGGGAAATGGTTTTAGTTTTTGCCCATTGAGTATGATGTTGGCTGTGGGTTTGTCATATATGGCTTTTATTATGTTGAGGTATGATCCCTCTATTCCCACTTTGCTGAGAGTTTTTATCAAGAAAGGATGTTGGATTTTGTCAAGTGCTTTTTCTGCATCGATTGATATGATCATGTGAATTTTGTCTCTCAATTTGTTTATGTGATGTATCACATTTTTTGATTTGTGGATATACTATCCTTGCATTCCCAGAATAAATCCCACTTGGTCATGGTATATGATCTTTCTAATGTAATGTTGAATCCGATTTGCTAGAATTTTGTTGTGGATTTTAGCATCTATGTTCATCAGGGATACTGGCCTGTAGTTCTCTTCTTTTGCGGTGTCTTTATCTGGTTTTGGAATTAGGGTAATGCTGGCTTCATAGGAAGAGCTTGGAAGTGTGCCTTCCTCTTGAATTTTTTGAAATAGTCTGAGGAGGATAGGTTTTAGTTCTTCTTTGAATGCTTTGTAGAACTCCCCTGTAAAATCATCTGGAGCAGGGTTTTTGTTTGCTGGAAGATTTTTGATTACTGTTTCAATTTCATTAGTAGTTATCAGCCTATACAGGTTATTTTATTCTTGATTGAGTTTTGGGAGCTTATATTTTTCTAAGAATATGTCCATTTCATGTAGGTTGTCCATTTTGTTGGAATAGAGTTGTTCATAGTATTTTTTCATAATCGTTTGTATTTCTGTGGGAAACAGTTGTTACTTCACCTCTTTCATTTCTAATTTTGTTTATTTGGGTCCTCTCTTTTTTCTTGGTTAGCCTGGTTAGAGGTTCATCAATCTTATTTATCTTTTCAAAGAACCAGCTGTTGGTTTTGTTGATCTTCTGTATTTCTTTTTTTTTTTTATCTCTATGTCATTTATTTCTGCCCTGATCTTTATTATTTCCTTCCTTCTGCTTCTGCTGGGCTTTTCTTGTTGCTCTCTTTCTAACTCTTTGAGTTGTAGGGCTAGATAATTTATTACCATTTTTTCTTGCTTTTTGAAGTAGGCCTGTAGAACTATGAACTTCCCTCTCAAGACTGCTTTCCCTGTGCCCCATAAATTTTGGATTGTTGTGTTTTCATTTTCGTTTGTTGCCATGATGCTTTTTATTTCTTCTTTGATCTCTTTGGTAACCTAATCATTATTTAATAGCATGCTATTTAGCCTCCAGGTGTTTGATTTTTTTCCATTGTTTTTATTGTAGTTGATTAATAATTTTCTGACATTGTGATCTGAGAAGATGCTTGATATGATTTCTATCTTCTTGAATTTGAAGAGACTTTGCCTGTGTCCCAATATGTGGTCTATCTTTGAAAATGACCCATGTGCACTTGAGAAGAATGTATATTCTGTGGCTTTGGGGTGAAATGTTCTGAAGATGTCAATTAATTCCATATGATCTAGTGAGTCATTTAGGATTGATGTTTCTTTGCTGATTTTTTTGTTTAGTGGATTTATCTAGTGGTGTTAGTGGGTTATTAAAGTCCCCTACTATGACTGTATTGCTGTCAATGTCTCCCTTGATATCTTCTATAAGGTTTTTTTTATGTATTTAGGTGCTCCTGTATTGGGTGCATATATGTTTACCAGAGTTATATCTTCTTGTTGGATTGCTCCCATTAGTATTATGAAGTGGCCTTCCTTATCTCTTATTATGGCCTTCACTTTGAGGTCTAATTTGTCAGATATAAGTATTGCTATTCCAGCTTTTGTTTCATTTCCATTTGCCCGAAAAACATTTTCCCATCCCTTCACCATCAGTCTGTGTGAGTCCTTTGTTCTGAGATGGGTCTCCTGTAGACAGCAGATATATAGGTCATGTTTTCTTATCCACTCAGCTACCCTATATCTTTTGATTGGGGCATTTAATCCATTTACATTTAAAGTTATTATTGATAGGTACCTGTTTGTCATCATTTTTTATTCTTTATGCCTGTTTTCCTTCTTCCCTTCCTATTTCTTCTTTTTACAGCAGACCGTTTAGCATTTCTTGCATTGCTGGTTTGGTGGTAATAAACTCCCTTAGTCCTTTTTTGTCTGTGAAGCTCCTGATTTCACCCTCAACTTTGATTGATAGCCTTGCTGTGTACAGTATTCTTGGATTCAGACCATTTCTTTGCATGACTTTGTATATTTCATTCCATTCCCTTCTGGCC